CAAATTGTCCTACATGTAAAATGCATTAGGTATATTAATTATCATACACTAACACAAACAAAACCTTTTGACATGGCCAAAACAGCTATGTCTGTTCCAACTCTTAAATACTTACAAAATTACATAAGATCATTGTAACTGTTTTACTGTCGGCTTTAAAAAAAAAAACAAGAAAAGAAAATAGAAATGAGGTATTGGTTTGTCTAAGATTTCTGACTATGAGTTGACATCATATGGAAGAATTTCACATCATTCAGTGAAAACAAACTCATTGTTGATCAACTGTTAAAAGACAAGAAAAAAAAGAGAAATCAAATATCGGTTTGTCTAAAATTTATTACATTCAGTTGACATTATATAGAAGTTTCTGTCTGTCTATCTGTCCATGAAAAATATTGAAATGTTCCGATTTTTGATAACCATGTAACTGCCAGGGATTGCGTCATGTGGAGCTGCATCTGCAGGTCTTCTGGTGACACATTCTCCACAATATTCTACCGGTTCGTGAGTATCTCTTCCTTTGGAATATCAGTACCGGTTCGGGAGCATCTCTACCTTTGGAATATCAGTACCACTGAGTGTTGCTCTTCTGGTGGCATATTGTCCACAATATTCTACCGGTTCGGGAGCATCTCTTCCTTTGGAATATCAGTACCGGTTCGGGAGCATCTCTACCTTTGGAATATCAGTACCACTGAGTGTTGCTCTTCTGGTGGCATATTGTCCACAATATTCTACCGGTTCGGGAGCATCTCTTCCTTTGGAATATCAGTACCGGTTCGGGAGCATCTCTTCTTTTGGAATATCAGTATCTCTGAGTCTTGCCCTTCTGGTGACACATTGTCCACAATGTTCTACCGGTTCGGGAGCATCTCTACCTTTGGAATATCAGTATCTCTGAGTCTTGCCCTTCTGGTGACACATTGTTCACAATATTCTACCGGTTCGGGAGCATTTCTACCTTTGGAATATCAGTACCACTGAGTCTTGCCCTTCTGGTGAAACATTGTCCACAATATTCTACCTTTGGAATATCAGTACCACTGAGTGTTGCTCTTCTGGTGGAACATTGTCCACAATATTCTACTGGTTCAGGAGCATCTCTTCCTTTGAAATATCAGTGTCACTGAGTCTTGCCCATACCTGGTAGAGTCCGTAATGCATCTTTTGGTGTTGTGTCCTCTCTCTCTGTCCAGGCGTGGAGATTCTTGTCACGGTTATTCCACATTTATTTTTTTAACCTAATACTGTTCTTTACCATGTTCCCTTGCGTGTGTCGCCACATCTAGCTTTTCCATTTCAGTATTGTTTAATTCTGTTCAAACTTGTTATATGGTTGACGAGGAACAGATATGTTTATGAGAAGTCCCAGTACACTTTCCTTAATATCTTGCATCAGATCAAGTCTCGTCTTCTGTTGCGTTTGGAAGCAGACTGTCAGCTATTGGATCCTTTTGTCTTTTTCTGTCGTTGGCGCCCAGATGTGTCGCTTTTCACTATGAATAATGATCATGTCTCATTAATATTTTGATGTTGTGTTTATTGCATTATACATATATTCTTCCAATAACTTACTGTATTAATGTGTACTAGTGTCTTATTAGTACTAGTAACATACTGATTTTTATAAATTGATGTAATAATTTTCTATGCTCATATAATTCTTAATTTGTTAATGGTATACCATTTGGTTGTAGTCGTTCAGATTTTGTAATCCAATGTAAACTCTGTATTTGTTTATTTTGACAATAAAATTTCCAAATTCTATTATACATCATGGTCCATATGATGTTCCTGGAACGTGTTCATCAATTGTATGCACATAGAGTAACCTGGGGTGAAGTTGGAAAGCGAGGGTTCTGCAAATGTCCCCTTAACGTTGGTTCATGAGCTCTGAGGTATATAATTAAAGTTTTCGTTTCAAATCATTAGAAGGATTTGTTGCACAATAATACATCTTCTTTCAATACTACTTTGGTATGCTTCAGATAAAAATTATAATTTAAATTATATTTGTTACTCTTGACATAAAGAAAGTCATAAATAATTTTATCGTGCTATCATTTTAATCATTTAAACATTATAAATCATTAACCTCGCTTTCTCATTCAAGTATACTACAAATGTTTGTGCTCTAAACCCCCATTTTCTTCCTAATGAGTGCATGCAATCAATAACACATTAGTCTCAACCAGGAATTTAAGTAAACTACATATATATATTTATTGCCAAAAATCTCAACTTCGAGTTTGGTTTATTAGAAACGAATAAGAAAATATTTCAGAGTGTCAACGTTCTTAGTATGATGAATAATACAAACATTCACTTTTATTTATATATTCATTTATTTTCCATTCACTAAATATCACTATTATTAATATAAGTCCAGTGTAGTTTGGGACAACTTTAATATTTACACAAAATAATACATTAATGTGTCTTTACACTTAGCTTTATATCATTGGATAACAATGATGGAAAGAAGTGAATTACTGTTGATATTCATAACAAAACCATGCCACACAGTTGAAATCTGAATATTTAGTTACAAGTTGTATGTTACATTTCAATCTTCCTTTATTAACACGAATTAAACTACACTGCTAATATTATAATGCAATAAAGGTAACAAGTTATATATTATGTTTATAAATACTTTATTTAGTGAAGGTCAACAGAATAAATTATAACTTTGTTTCTTCCCAAACTTTCTTTTCAATTATTAGAATATAAAAGCTTTAAACATCAATAATTTTTTTATTAAATTACACTCCTGGCATAAATTATAAAAAACAACAACGTAGTATAAAGACTCCTTATAAGATTTTAAGACATTCAGATTAATCTATTTGTTTTGATAATCTATAGAAAAAAAACCTTAAAACTAGAGGAGAAAACACACTGAAATTAAAAGTGTTGTGACACATACTCTGTCAAAAACAATTGCCATTTTTTGTCCTTATGTTTTGTCAAACTATCTTTAATAATTATATATATATATAATGTTTTGTTTTTGTTTTAATAAAAATAACAGTGTACACTGATGATAATTAAAATTACAGACACTCCTTATTGGTGTTGTAGTTGTTCCTCAGATGTTAAGAGATTAAATAATTATCCAACAAAAGGTATATTTCTACTAACAGAAACAAATTGACAATAATCTTGTTTAAACAGATATGTTTCAGCAGCTGATCAATTGGTTTGTAAAGATAATATTGGTAGCAAAATATTCATTTTGTATCCTATCTTATAAAAATTGATTAATGGTTTGTGATGTCACAAAAATTAAAATTAACATAATTTTCATAAATTTGAACATTTTAAAAATCCTTTTTTTTTTACAAAGAGAAAATGGCAGTACTCAATGATTAGTTAGTAATTTTATTAATATATTTTATTTTTATTACTATTCAAATGTAAAAAAAATAATTACATTTTGGGAGGACAATATTTGCATAAAATGAGCATCTTATAATTTTACTGCAGTGTAAAGTTAATTTAACAAAGTGTACAGTTACATTGCTTATAGTTTGAAACCTATATTGCTTTCTTTACTAAAACCAATTAATATGAAATTTTTAACATGAATGAGCATGATAAATGTAATATTTCTTTCTACATGTTATAACCTATGTATACACCAGGAGCATAACTGGGGGAAGGGGGTCACTGACCACATCAATATTCTAAGAAAGTCAAGGTCCACTGTCTACTGATATTTTTTTAATAAACACTGACTTTATATATATCTCTTAATTTCCTTGTCTACAAGAAAAGATCCAGTAGTTACTCTAGCCACGAATAGTTAATAGTTAAAAAAAAAACTGTTTATCTGTATCATTGCAACAAAATCACAAAAAAAATCATTACATACATATCTACCATTAATCATAATTGCAAGTAAATTCATTATATTACACTATACAATATGTGAAAAATTTTTATTCACGTTTTGAACAATATTTTATAAGAAATTCTCATGAATATACACGTTTTTTTCTTCAATTTACTGATGTTCTTCATTTTACAACAAACAATATAGTATTTGGACATTACATTCTATTGTTTAGAAGATTTCTGGAGTTATGTTTGCCAACTTAAGCATGCTCAGTTCTTATTGTGGTACTATTTTCCTATAAATTGTCAGTTGACAACAAAGTGGAAAAAATTAACCTATCTGAAACTAAAGAACAATTAGAAGATCATGACAGAGTACTCAGTTACCAACATAACTTTTACACTTCTATCTCTGTAACAATTCTAATCTCAAATTCAAATGATAAAAATATTTAAATGCTTCTGGAGGTTGCACATTTTTCAGACCACTTTCACGTTTCTGTATTTTATCACTCGTAAACCATTCTCTTTATAATGGGTCTGGCATTAATGAATTAAATAACTTCTGTTTGTTTGTTTGAAGTTAAGCAAAAAGCTAAACAATGGGCTATCTGTGCTCTGCCCACAACAAGTATCAAAACCTGGTTTCTAGCATTTGAAGCCCGCAGTCATACCTTTGTGCTACTCGAGGGCAAATAACTTCTGAATAATTAAACATGTAAACAAAATAATACATTATATTTGGTTCAAAACTTCTGATCAATACTAAGATGAATTTTCATAAGTTTTAACCCCACGATTATTTTCATGCTAAATAACTATCATTTTAAAAATCTATTGAGAAAACTTCACGAACATATAATAAAAACTGTAAGTTCTAATAATAATAGTAATATATTAGACTGATACATATAAATGCTCCTGCTTTTTGCACATTAAAATTTATTTCAAGAAGAGCATGAAATTAAACACAGAAGAATACGTGATTTCAAATTTTTTTGCGTTTAATTTATTAGCATATTTATAATACAGTATTACTATTATATTTTAATACACAGATGAGCAAGATGTTACAGTAGATGATTTCCTTATAAGTTAAAACTTCACATATTTCAGAAAATGCTGGGTAACTATAAAAACTATATTTACCCAAAAAATAAACAGTGAAATTTAAAATAGACTTGAAAAAATTTAACAAAAATAGTCTTGAATTTTAAGTTATAAATATTTCTAAGAATAGTTTATATTTGAAATAGACTATATGATTTTGAGATATTAAGTTGTACCATTCTTTCAGTGATGAACTAGGTACATTAATATTACTACACAATGGTTTGAATGTTGTCTGCTTAGGCCTAGAGTTCAGGTACCTCAGTTGTATTGAGCGTTAGTATCAATACACTGATGTGAGATCAGGAGAGTGTGTATGAAGACAATCAACTTTACGTATTTCTGTGGCTTACAAGAATGTATAAAAGTCCAGTGCCAGCTGGCAAGGACAGAATGTACAAACGTGATTACGACCCGAAAAATATCTAATGTTGATTAATGGATGGGGATAAGGATCTGGTTACTAAGAATCCTCTAAACATTTTAGCCTTTTACAAAATCAATGATGAACGTATCCCTACAGAGGATTAGAATGTTGAGCTATATAAAGGATGCTAGTAATCAGTATGACACGAACCGAGATCGTAGAATATAAGAAAATAGTTTCTCTTTCTCAAGGATAGAAAATCTGATAATGTGTATGAGAAACATCTCCTCGTAATACCTTATTACTAATCTCTCAAATTGTACAAGGTTATGTTGGAGATTTGTGAGTCACAGCTATTATTACCTGTTCTTTCTAACAATATTTGTACACAATATTGATATCATTACGACTGAAAACCACATTAGATTAGTATATGCGAGCTGTGTAACAAGTAGATGTAAATACATAAGAAAAATAATAACAGAAGATTGCGCAAGGTTTTGAAAAAAGAAAGAAAGACACAAACTGAGTTAAGACAATTAAAGTGTATACGTTATATTAATTACCTAGTTTCAAAACTCCATATAACTTACTTTATGCACATTCTATTTAATAGTAATAAAATCTATTATACCCGGCCTTTTTTTAACACAATGTATAAAGTACGACCAGAATTTAGTCAGGATTCCTTTGTGTTAAATATACATGAAAACATGAAACATTAGGAATTATCATGAATTGATTATTTCTCCTTCAAATGAAAATGCGAACATATTTATTCAAAAATGGGGAAACTAATTTTGGTGCTTAGAAATATGTAAGAATGAAATATGTTCTTTTCACGTTGCTTACATTGTTGACCCTTCTGTTAGGCTTCAAAGTAATTATAAAAAATAACTTCTTCAAAGACACAGAATCTGTGAAAATGTTGTGACAAGATAACTGAACTTCTGCATAATGCTTAAACAAGTGCAAAAATCAGCTTGGATAAAATAAAATTTTTTTAGAGAAATTCTTTTTCATGGATAATATTAAATAAAGCAGAAAAACAAAACACGTGAACACTTTTCTGTAAACCTAAATTATACAACTGTGACATTCCCTTCGTGTGTGTCGTAAAAATATAACAAGCTACCATTTCCCACTATAACTGAGACGTACTATGAAGTGAGAACCACAGAATTGAAAACTGATATTCTACTACCAGTAAGTTTTCTAAAAACATATTCTTTATCACACTTATAGAACTATTCTATTTTTGTAGAGCTAAACATGCCAACAAGTAGAGCATGGATCATATAGAATTTAAGCTACACGATCTCCAATTAAATATATCTAAATTGCAATGGATATTTAATGCAATACATAAACTTTTCAGTTACACATAACAAGATAAAAAATTTCTTTAAAAATAATTCCAACAATTATAATTTGGTCTGACGAATTGCAATGACAATCCGTTTGGAAAAAAAAAATTGTAAAAAATTTCCTTTTTGGTACTATTATACTAAAGCACAATAGGCAGTTTTGAACTGCTATAAAGATTTAACATGTGTCATGGTTGAGCTTCACAATACATGGAAACTTCTACACTTTTTTTTTGCAGTAAAAGATTCATCTTGAAGAAATACATGAACAGTGATAAAGTAGTCCTAGAATCCTATATTCGACTTTCACTAAAACATCTTACATATATTTTGCTTACGTACTGCATATGTCAAGGCACAAAATTTCAATCTTTGGATGTCAAAACATTTTCGGTAGCAAGACCTTGTTCCACTAGGAATGTATCATAAAAACATACCAGTTTGAATTGAAAATAAATCTCCTAAGCTGGAGTTCTACAGTAATTTCCATCGAAAAAGAAATTTATCATATTCTTTTGCAAATGTAATTCCCTCCTCAGCTCAGAAACACTGGCACCATAGATGGTTAACTGATTATCACTTTCTTAAATATTATGTTTATCACTGATGATATGAAGTACCTAGGGATAATAACTTCCTATTTTAATGAAAAGCACATCATATTCCACAATCTCTGTGAAAGATAAATTTGTACTCCACAAACAGCTGACCAGCATCACTGCTCTGAAGAAGGCATGGCTATATAAAGGAAAGTAAAACAAATATTATGTATTAAGCAAACAGAAACAAGATTCTATGTGACACAACTGTTCAAACAAAGAGAAATAATAAAACACTTAGCTTGCCACTTAAGAATTACCGAACTAACCATAAATTAAAAAATAATACATTATAAGCCTACAATGTGTGTTCCATTTGGAAATACTGTTTATAAAATGCTTCTCTTTTTTTGTATAGTAAAAAATATATTTTTTTTTAATCTACAGAACATTAACATTTGAATGACAGCTTTGAAAAAGAAAATTGAAATATATCATTAAAAAAAAATTAATACAAAGGTAGAGGTGCCTAACTTCCTTGAAAAATAGGGGAGGAGGGACAAAAAATATGATTGGCAAAGTTATTTTAGACCATGGTGAAGAATCTCTGACAAGCGAAGAAAACATTTAGTGTTAAGTCACAAAAAATTAATAAGTTCTATTCTTACAGGTAAGTATAAACAGCAGTTAAGAATACTTGTCATGTCGGTAACTTTGATTTTACTTACCAGTTGCAAATACCGAATCACGAGCATGATTAATTTATCGGTATAACATAGTTGTTAACAATGCTGTTAGAAAACATAATAAATTAGGCAACTTAGCCGGTGTTAGATAATAACCCATGTTCTCTAAACGAAAGAAGTGGTGGTGGTGGGGGTGGGAGCACATGCCTCTTCTGCCCTATTTGTTACAAGATGATTTTCAGTAAAGGTTTTTGAACCCTTGATTTTAGTATGATAAATCTATATACTTCCTCTGTCCCACGAGGGGGACCTCCTTGATATGTTAGCCATCATTCATTCATTACCGTCTCAAATCTTTCAATTTCTATTTCCAACAAGCTTTTCGCCAAATATATATTTCCAGTGGAACCTTTCCACCATAATCCATTGGCTTCTTGATTGATTGATGTTGTTGAACCCTTCTACATGTGAGGAGTAGTCCAGAAAAGTCCTACAGTCATAAATTTCATAGCAGTTGTACTAATAGGTGTAGACCAGATGGATTTTTCTGTTTCATTGCTAATGATGTCTTTATTGATGTCCCTTTTATTTCCCTTTTAACTCTGAAGATGCACATTTGTAATTCCTTCTTGATTTCATTTATGTTCTTTTGTACTTCCCTTTTTACTCACTGATGTCTCTTTACACATTTCATATGGCCTCCTCAATCTTATGTTCAATTAAAATGATTTTTTTTTGTTTTATGTTTCATTTTTCATGCTTCTTTCTTCTTGATATCATTTCCATTAAATTTTCAATCTTCCTTCAAATCTCTATTGCCATCTTGAAGTACAGTTTGGATTCAATTTACTTTTGCCAAAAAATCCCACTCCTAACACAGGTGCAGTAAAAAGAAGTATGCAAAGTCCAGTCCACTTAGTGATACCAAAAGTGATTTATTTATTTGGAAACAAGTTCTAAAAGTTAGCTTACCTAATGTTCATTGATAGGCAGGCCTACGTTCAGAGTAGAAACTAACACAGTTTCACTTACTTGCTAATTTCTTGTGTTCTACATGGTGTATCTCTTAATACTTTGTGGAGAATAAAAACATAATATTCCAAAACTGGACTAACTAACTCAATTAAATGATAACATACTAGATTAAATGTAACTTACTAACAGACAAAAAGATTAATAATCACTTAGTCTAGCCTAACTTGCATTTTATACTGCTCAAACTATTATAAACTATGGAGGAACATTCAGAACCTTAAGACAGGCACTCATAACATGACTTCAAACTATGGCAAAACAGAAATACAAACATCTATATTAAAAACAAAGCCTACAAAAAGATGTTTCAGCATTCAGAAGTTTAATGTCAATGCATACACTTGAAGTAAAAGAATTTGGAAAGAACTTACATAAAATTGTTTAGTTTAATTGTTAACTAAGGTCTTAAATTAAATTGTGAGAAATCTAAACAGGCTAGCTGACCTCATTTGTAATATACTGTTTTGCAACACCTACCCTTGTATTCACTCTTTTGGTAAGAATACGAAATCTATAGGTGCTTCTGAAATACAGGCCAATTGGAAGGGTCCAGGATGGGTTTCCCTCCTAAAATAAAAATTGTTAAATGACCCATGAAAGATAGTTTGAAATTTTGATTCATTTGTGTAAACTCTTTATTTCATATTTTCCTTCTTTTTTATTTCTGTTTTTATTAAATGCCATACTAGCAAATACTAAATTGGCTTAATTACATAATTTTTGTACTTCCTGATGTACATTTGCATTATTTTAATTACTTGATATGCTTGTTTGTTTCTTTGTTATAGATTTCGCGCAAAGCTACACGAGGGCTATCTGTGCTAGCCGTCCCTAATTTAGCAGTGTAAGACTAGAGGGAAGGCAGCTAGTCATCATCACCCACCGCCAACTCTTGGGCATCTCTTTTACCAACGAATAGTGGGATTGACCATTACATTATAATGCCCCCACGGCTGAAAAGGCAAGCATGTTTGGTGTGAAGGGGATTCGAACCTGCGACCCACAGATTTCGAGTCGAACACCCTAACCACTTGATATGCAAATCTTTCCCTGATGTCTGATGTTGCCTCTACTTTACAAAGGTATGAGGTATGATGCAAGGCTTAAGAAAACAGTATTTATTTGAGGCATTATGAGAAATATCTAAAGATACACTCTTTCTTGCAGCTTCGGTGTGACCTTTTATTTGACTCACTTTTAAATAGGTAACCGATAAAGGATGGAGAATTCTTGAGTTACTTTGGTAAGCTTAAATCCATGGCTTTATACAGTTATAGAATATACTATGTTTATTCTTTTAGGCAGCAAGAGCAGTGAATATTTTATAATCCTTCAACGATTTAAATAATATCCCTATTATATAGGCCACTAATTAATATATGAAAATTGTTCAATGCATTTTTGAATTATATGGCTAATCAAATAAACTATTTAAAAATTGATTTAGTCAAGCTTAAAGGAGCAAAGAGGCAAACAAATGGTAGATAAATCCTTTTAGCCAGGAACGTCAAGAGCCAGCATGGGCCTCGAGGCAAACATCCTCTCCGGGCCCCCTTTCTCTCTCTCTCTCTTTTTAACATTTTCAAGGAATTTATTAAAAAGAAGATCCTAATTAGGACAGCAACGAGCTCATAAACCAAAAAAATAGATAGCAGCAGCCATTATTACCTCACAGTATAA